TTTGAAATATTTGATAATATTATGTTTTTTTTATATTAGCGATGAATCATTTTGATTGAGTCAGACAAGATATTTTAAATCATTGGTATAACTGACTACAAACTGTTCGGCTTAATGCGTTAATTAACTGTAACTGGATAGCTTCATACAGAAAAGTATTTTATTACAGTTACATGAAGGTATAAAAATTAAAATATCATATAACTTTTTGATTTTTTCATATTAACCATTTTCATTTCAAACTGGCACATTTCATATATGCTGATACTAATAATGACCGAAGAATCCTTTGAAAATATGCTATCTTACGATTCATAGTAGCTAATGTAGAACAACATCGATGGCTTCTTTTTTTCACTACCTTCTTCTACCGAGATAAGATTTCTTTGCAAGAATTGATAAATTTGATCTATTTTTATTTTAAATGATTAATACACATAATCCAAAGGATGTACAATGCATAGAAAGATCCTATTAGTGAGAGAAAAATATAATGAACTATAAAGTATTATCCTATGGGAATGATTTTCTACCGTGACGTCTTTCAAGAAAATTCAGTGAGAGAACGATACTAAAACTGAGCATTCTCTAAAATTGTTTTGTTTGCTGTAAGTACTCGTTAGAGTTGTTCTTTTGCTAACACAAATTTTCAAATCAATATAATGTTAGATGTTTGAGAAATAGATTTTCATATTCATTCAAAGACTTTTGTATCTCTTATCAATTAAAAAATAATAGTAAATATTTTTCAATAAAAATTACCCAAGCTCATTCTGGATTCATCAAATTATATTTTGACAATCACCACTACTATGCTTTTTTGCATGATCATCGTTAAGAGGACTATTATACAGATTAAAGCTTTAATCTTATATATTTTCTTGAATACTTTTGTTTTTCATTGATACTGAAGTCATATGGGTTTCTCTTTTTAATTGGTCGATCGATAAATTAAATGATTGTTATAAATTGATGTTGTTAAATTACGAAATGTAAATCATAACTAAATTATGTTATTGAAACCTTTATCCATGAGTGGATTTAGCTGTTTAAATGCTATCTCGAGTTCGATGAAGTGTGACGTTGACAGAATCTTGCTGTTGATAATGAATATTATTTTTCAACTACCGAAAATAAAATTGTCATAGAAATTGAGAAAAGCTGTTTTGGTAGGACCTTCATAAAAAAAAGGTAAACTTTCTATATCAGAGCTTGCATATATATATATATACATATATTTATGGAACTGTACACATTTTCACAATTGTGCGATTTTAGCAGTTGACATAACTTTCTCAATACAAACGAACATTTGGAGATAGTTTGGCATCAATATTTTTGAACTAGAAACTGCTAGGCATTGATAATGTTGACTGGCCAATTAAAATCAACCAAAAACAAATTATTAAGAAATTTATTCCCGAAAAATCTTGACTGTGAATGGGAGTTCATTATTGGTATAACTGTTTAACATTTCAAGAAGATACGAAACTCATTTAGCATAATCATTTATCATACGACAAAAAATAGTAAGCTCAGCATGTAAAGTTGAGATGTTGATCGTAACAAAAGGTTTATCATCTGGAAACTTGAAAAATGATATTATTAGATTTTCCGAACTACTGACATTAGTAAAAAAATGAGCAAGGTTGATCAACTTTAATTCTCTAAAAATTGATAACAAGCCGATGAAAGTTGACTTTGAGTAAAGTCATGGTGGCCAATGCATTATAATAGATTCAGAAAGAAAATCAAAAATAAATAAGACCGTTAATTTTTTCCAACAAAGCATCAGATTGTTTTAAAATAGGACTTATTTAAAAGAAAAAGATTTAATCATATTGTAACAATATTTCTGCATGTACTTAAATCAGATTACTATTTTGGAACCATAACAGCAAGTTTCTTCTAGTTCTTCATTCATGAAATCAATTGATTATCTGCCAATCACAGAAGGTTCATTTAAAACACAACAATATAGAAATGCTATTGATAGCTGCTTCATCTGAGATTTGATTACGTTGTAATCTTTTCATTTGGTTTTATGATGTTGTACAAAATATTCAATATAGGTATGTAATGATTAACAATCTTGTTCAGTAGTATTCATGTTCAAAATGATTCATTCTATCTAGCAGAAATTGTTATTTCTGTTTCACTGATGAATATTGTCTTGGGCGTGAAATTAATGTAATACAGATTATATATTCATTCACATTTTCGAAAGATGTATAGAGTAACAATATAAATATTATTTCAGATATCTAATGATCAAAAATAAACGCACGGAAATATTTATAAATCTTTATAATTTATTCTATTGAACATATTGTGCTTGTTTAGTTTGATGGTAGTTGTAATATCGCCTAGAAACTATGAAAAAGCATAACTTTATGAAGGAATTATGTGTTACATATCGTTCTGATCAACATATATGAAACATGTTTTCTGTTTTCATTTATTATTCATACAATGGAAGTTGACTTCCTCTGTATGAATAATGAATGAAAACAAAAGGCGCGCTTTGCTTATTTTGATCAGCAGCATATATTCACGTCGCTGTTGGGACTTGGGCTATATTGTATTATTTTGATTTTTGTGTATACATGAAGCATTTAACTTTTCTATTTTTGGGAAAAAATAATCATTTTTCACACGAGGAAAATGAGACCATTGTTTTCAAAATATTTTGCCTTTGCTATTGTTGGTTCTTTTTTTTTTTTATCTATGTCATCTTCAAAGAGAAGATGATTATAATTCTAATAGAGTAAAGAATATTTGTATGCATGCTGCTTCGCCTCTGTTAGCTTTTCTCATATTTGTTTTTAATATCTGAAAACCATATTATTATAGCTACAAATTGAATACCATAATTACCTTATTATTGTGTCAATAATGTTCGTTATATTTGTTTTGAAGGGAACCAATTATTATAATTTATCATATAGAATTTTATATAAAACTGGTTTATATTTGTATCGCAACTATATTTATGAAAGTTACATAAAAATATTTCTTAGGCTAATGTATATTCGATAGAATTTCTACAAATAGAAATGTAGTTTACAAACAAGTTTGTATTTCATAATAAAATATAAATAATGAAATGATTGTGGCCTTTACAATTGCATCAATGTAAGTGTAAAAGAATTAATATGGCTTGAAGATTTCTAGTAATATAAATCGATGTATTGTAGATTTCCTCTTTCAAACATGAACGTATTTCGTGGCATTTATTTGACATCATACTATTAAACCATGCATCAATATTATAAAAAAAATATTCGTATAGAATTTTAGAAAAGTTCTTTCGGTATAAATCATGCAAACCGAAAATAGAAAATTAATGAATGAAGAAAAACAAATTGTATACTCTTCGTCAACATCTACTTTAAAGTCACACATTGTCATAAGAAATCGCCATTTCCTTCGGCGTATAAAAATATTTGTTCATAAGCTGATGTTTCTGTGATAACTAAAACGATTCTGCGTCATTTCTCGAGTATATAGACATAAGATACTTTTATTAGAGTTTTCTTTATCATTCTTAACTTGTCAATACTCAAGTAATCCACAAGATTTTGATAAAAGTGCATACGTCCATGGAGATTAACGTCCACAGTTATTCTTTGTAATATTAATATATGTTTTCTAGTTTCATTATTTCTCAATGTTACTTGAAGGACAATATTGTCATGATACTTCGTTGTGAGCAAAAAATTGTAATACTTGAGAGATAGTTTAGTAAACGATAGCATCTAATTTTTTTCACAACTGTTACAGTCATATATTTATTCCTTGACTCATCGACGTTTGTATACTCATCCCCTGACACATATTCCCCCTTTATATACTCCTCTTTCTTCAATAATAAAGTAGTTCCATCGTTATGGTACTCATTCGTTATTAACATCAAGAAGGCACAGGGATCCTTAACAACAACAACAAATAATTTTTGGCTGAAAATATGGTCTTTTAGACAAAAGATTTTGATTTCAAATTAAATTGTTCCAAAAAATATTCTCCAGAAAACAGAAACTATCTTAAAACTAGTTTTGTAACTTCGATCATAAACATGATGATAATCATCTGATTTTATACGAGAAAATGTTTTTTAATTATATGCGAAGTTTTGGAGTACCTTTTGACCTTTTCACGTCAAGCTTTACTCAATTTATGAAAAACTTCAAAGTTATTTTAAAAAAACTTTCCGTACTGAATAACTCGCGACTATCGATAAATAATATGTAGTTGCATGAAAAAAAAAGTCAGAGGATTACTCTGGAATATCTCTATTAAATTTTAAAAAAGGATTCTACTAACATCTGACATACTCTTTAAAATGTTTACGATCAAATTTAGATCATTAGTTGTAAGGAGCCTTCGTTTTCTTGAGTAAATTTCTCGAGAAGATGTTCATGTAGCTCTAAAATATACAATCCGCAATAGCAGATCCTCTAAACTACTTGACGCTTTATTGCAATCTTTGTTATTTATCGTTGTTTAGAAAATAGCTCAATAATACAAGCACCTGGATTGTTTCCACACATTTCTTTTTCGATAGTAAAAACTCCGTTTCATCAGTGATTTCTAATTATTTCAAATCCACATACATAATATGAAGGCAAAAGAAAACCAAAAGACATAGAAATGTGTACATGCAAATTTTTTATTATTTATTTAAATAAATCAATTGAGTACTTATATCGATTATATTACAATTCGACCACATCTAAATGAAAGTGAACAAATTTGAATGGGATATATATTTATTATAAACAAAAAGCATTTTTGACTATAAATGAGAAAAAGACATCTTTTTTCTTGTCATATTATATAATAGTTTCCCATCTTTCTTTATTGATATAAAAAGCAAAAGAACGAATTCATTCTTTTCGTGTCTTAAAATATCGTCAATTACCATTTATACAATCGTCATATGATAGAAACCAAAGTAATAACTTAACATTAAGTTCATTATTTTAACTTTTGTATGGATATTAATTGAGATTTTTAATTACATCGTTTGTTGGACGATGTTTTGTTTTTGATTCTTTTAACTGTATTTCATCATTTGGACGATATTTATTACTTCCCCGATGTTCTCCGTCATTTCTATTATATAATTCTTTCCAGTGGCATTGAAGTATGTACATAAGTTCACCGCGAAATACTTCTCCACTGACACAATATAATAAAAAATTTATACAAAAGTTCGTTAACATAAATAACTCTGTTATTTCTTTGATTGATTTTAAGGTTGCATTACGAAATCCATGAATATAATTAGCAATCCATACAGCACAATATGGAGAATTTAATAATAGAAATGAGCATGATACGAGTAGAAGTGTTACTGTTACACGATTTGCACGAGATTGAATATACGTTTTAACACACGTGGGAGATGGTTTTGAACCTGGAGTATAATGAACGGATGAATTCAAAAATGAATTTGACTTAGTAGGATTTCGGATTCTTTCAGTGGAAAGATAATTATTGATCTATTTAAAAAAATAAGAGAAGAAATTAAATCGTAAAAGGATACTTTTCAATTAAGCATAGTATAGGTTCTAGTGCCTGGCGTGTTTCGTATGTTTTTTTTCATGCAATCTGTTTTTTAAAACTATATATATATTAATTCAATAGCTACTTTAATATTATATCATACTCAAAGATATATAAATGAACAATTCAATCTAAATCTTATTTTGCAACCTACTCTATAACAAACATTTCAAAGTAAAGTAAAATTCATATTTTATATCATTCTAGTATTTTGTTGATATTAAGAAAATATCTTATAATAAACTGTTTGTTTTTTTCTATCGTTGCGAATTTCGAATTGACATTTTATCTATTCATGTAATATTCAAAGTCGAAATACTTTTGAATAATTTTTGTTTTAAATAATTCAACTGATACTTAAAAACTATTCACCTGAGTTCTATTCGTTTTAGTTGTTATCAATGGTCCAATTGATTGACTTTGATTTGATGAAGATATACGTGGTCGTTCAAATTTTTCAGTTGGTTTCATAATATTTGATGTAGACTTTGATCGATGCAAACATGAAAATAATTCCAATATATTCATTGGACGACGAGAATGTTTTATTTTCTGTCTAATTGATCAATAGAAACCAAAACTTTTGTCAAAACAAAAGCATTACAAAGAAAACATTTACCTTTGTTCACATAAATGATCATTATTATCTTTTTCTGTTAATAAACTTTTTCTCCAAAGTTTAGAACAAATAAGCATGTTAACAAATCCAATTATACACATAGGTACCAAATAAACTGTAATCATTGCGCTTATAGCAAATCTCATATAAATTGAACGATATTTTGGTAAAATATCACAGATTGTATCTTCTTTTCCAAAATTATTCGTTAAATTAATTATTCCATAATGAAATGGAACATTGACATTAATTAAAAAACTCATAAGGAAAAGAAAAAAAACAACGAAACGTGCTATTTTACGACGACATATGATAGCTCGTTTTAACGGATGATATACAACAAGAAGACGCTCAATTGTAAATGAAACAATGATCCATGATGATAATAAACGCGTTGTATTCCTTGCATATTGAATAAATATACAAATAATAGATGAACTATGATCAAGGATGTTTATACGGGACTGATATAATTCATTATGATTACGAAATGTGTCTTCAATAAGATTTATACATAGAAAACAAAGGTCAGATATCGCAAGGGATAAAAGATAGAAATGTGATGATTGTCGGCGATATCGAGGAGATAAAAATATTAATATAGAAAGAATATTACCAATTATTCCAAGAGTTGTCAATATTAGTGGGCCATATATTGACATGTATTGTTCAACAGCGACTAATGTTGATATACTTCTACTAGTGTTACTTTGGTTTGCCATTTACTTATCTAAACAAAAACGTAATATATCCTATTAGACGAGAAACAGATCATTTATAATCGTGTAGAATGCCTTAATGACACACGTTATAATCTTAAAATTTTATCATCATTATACAACAAATGAGGATCTATCTTGTCATTCGATTTACTATCGTACGCATTTTGTTTTTCTGAAGAGCGAAAAGAAAAGGAAATGATGGTCCAGTGATTTTTACAACATCTCTTCTTTTCTTTCTTTTCTTATCCCTCTTTTCTTTCTTCTCTTATCCCTCTTTTTTTTCTTTTCGACATCTCTTCAATAAGTACTACAACTCAAAAGAAAGATCAGGCATTCGCCCACATACATCAGCCTTTATTATTCAAAGAAAGGGGCTTGATACTACAATAAATAGAAAAATATCAAGAATAAAACCTCCATTGTAATAATAGAATGTAATTTATCGAATGAGCATTTACTACTCATCCGTTGTAAAAACAAACTTGAAAATAAGCCGTCATCAAATATGATTATGAATAGCACTTACTAGTGTGATGAAAATAGATCAATAAATAAATAAATAAAGCAACCGGGCAACTTGTTTGACCTTAAATGAAAAAGTATTTCTTTTTTTAATGTTTATATCAAATTTAGCGAGATAATGCGAGAACCTTGCCATCTCGTTAAGATCATATTTTAATACATCATTTCTTCTTGTAGCATATGTTATTGTACTGATAATAGTGTTTTTACATTAGAAAGAAGTATGTAAATAGCTTGGTTTCCTTTCTTTTCTATAAAAAGCATACAACGGCTCATTTCGAAGGGGTTGACTTATAGATTAGGAATAGGAAAAAACAAATCCAAGTATTCTGTGCAAGTTATGATAGGTAAACAGGAAAAGTTTTAGTTAGTTTTTATGATAATAAAAAAAATAGTTTTCTATCAACATTTTTCGATCATTAACATGTCTCTATGTATTTCTAATAGTAGTGAAATATATGACTACTGTATTACTTATCTACTACAGTATTACTCGAAATGAAGTAGGAAAAGTAAATGAAAAACAAAAACATATTAGAAAAGGTTATATTATCATAATATAGTATCAAGAATGTTGTTGTTGTTCTCTTTTCGTATTATGATATTGAAGTGTATAAAGCCTAATGACAAAACTCCATAGAAAATTATTTGTGATAATAAAACCAAAATACACTCTTTATGCTTCTTTTGATAATAAACCACAGTAAAAAGCAATCATTTAGAGTTTTTTCTAAGAAAAGAAAAAAAAAGACCGACAAAAATCTAGGTAATTCATAATTATCTTACAAAACAAAACGTTAATAGTCCTGAAGGGTAAAATAAAATACTAGCTTTTCTATAGAGTAAAATAATTCTTCACATTTCATGTATACAGCAAGACTTACCTAATCAGAAATCTAGCACGAAAAGAAAATGAGAATTTTACATTCTTGTTTAGTCTATTAATACGAAATTGCCATCAAGACGAAAACAAAAAGAACTGCACGACTATAATTTATCTAATTAAATAAAAATTTATTTAGTCAAATAAATTTTTATATTAACTATCAAATTGTTTTTAATGAATGCTGGAAATATACGCGTATATGATATACACAGCCATCCGACTAACATGATAAGTACAAGCGGAGAAAAAAACACAATTGTACTTATTAATCTGAATTGCGAAATAAAGAACTCTTTCATGATCGTTTTTCTTGAGAGTAGACATGTAATCTCTTTTATGTTGAGTTAATTATATTAACAACGTTTATCATATTTTAAATATTAATATTTGTTTGCAGTATCTTAATATAGATAATAAATATTCATTGACTTCGTATTCGTCAATTGTGTTTTAGCTGTTTTTAAAGAATATTATTATGATTATGGCAAAGCTTGTTGTCAGAATGATAGATTAAGAAGAAAAAAAGACACATTTATGAAACGTCAATGATAATTTCTAATTAAAAAAGAAAGTAATTCTAACTGATAGATAGCATCTTTAAGTTACATGTATCGTTTAGACATGAACTGACATCTACACCTATCATCTATATTCATATAGTATACTTCATTAATTATTAGCTTGATAGCGATATCAGTAAATTGGAACTTTCTAAAATTATTTATGACAATAATAATTAATGAGTAACATAACTCACAAGTGTTGTACTATGATTTAAACAAAATTTTACTTTCGAAAGAAAACTTCTTTTGATATTGAACCAACATAAATAGAAACAGGAACAAGAAACAGATACTTATATAGGAAAAACTCATTAAATCTTTAGGAAATGTATTCATATGTCAAATATATGTTAACATATTCTCAATGATTCAAGGTATGAGTGTCTAGCCAATACTATAGCATTTCCGCTTTATAATTAGATACTTGCTTTAATAATAGTTACGAGAATCAACTTATGAATAGATCCTATGTTACCTAAAACAAGAAATCTTTGATGTATGAATGGCAAAGTATTGTTTATATATTTTTTATGGAAAGCTAGTGATGAGTTACTTAGATTTTCATATGACAGTCAAATATGATGCATAGAATCATCAAGGTTATTTTTTTCTACTTATTATTATCTTTTAAAATCTTGACAATGCTTGTCAATATTCTACTTTACTCGGTAATTAGTATTCTTTTGATACGTGCTACGGAAAAACTCACCTTATTTTATCATATGCACAGAAAAAAAAACATTTGTTTTCCTCGAAAACAAGATTATAATGTTTCAAAAGTCTTCAAATGTACAATTTAGGTTCCGCTTTTTTTGTGACGCATACAATTCTGAAATAGGCCACTTGCATAACTATGAACTTTCATTAATAAGAAACTATTCTGATTGATGAAACTTATAATTATAAATGGAAAAAATTATAATTTATACGCTAGTTCTTTTATAATATACGAAATAAAGGAGGAACAACACTTGTGTAAATGTAGAGTATAGTGCAGAATGAATGTCGAGATAGTTGCTATAAATATGTGTCATTGTAGAATACAAGACAACTATGTAATTGTGTTTTTTTCTCTATTGAATATCATCTGTTGATTTGACGACAAAAAGGTGAAATAAAAAGAGAAAAAAAAAGGTATTTCTTCGACATACTATTTTATACTGATATGTCATTGTATTTATTTCACACAAACAAACAAAAATGAAGTGTTGATATAATAAACATATAAATAGACCAGACCTATATTCAAACATAGAATTTTTAAATCCATGGTGAATTAAAGCGTCTTCTTTTTTTGCCTAGAAAATGTAATGGTAACAAAGGATTATCATGTGTTCAGTTATAACAAAGAAGAAATTGAATTCTTCTTTCGCACGTACTTACTGTATTTATATAGAAATCTCTATGGATTTTTCAGCCTCGTATAATGCATATAATCGATCTTTTCTCATATTCATAAAGAAATAATATAGAAAACCGATAATCAAACAATTAATTGGGGAATGCCAATAATGATCATCAGAATTAGATCATTTGTTCATCTTAAATCGAAAATAAACAAAGATATTACTTACACAATTTGATGTTTAATATACTAACTCTATTTTATTTTTATGCTTTTGGAGTTATTTTCTTCATCTATTTATCGGTTAGTCAAGACAGAATAAAACTATTAATATGATTTCAAATGACAATAATGTGTCTAATCGATTAATATTAAGTGAACTGAAACGAATTGTCACACATACTATTAACAACTGAAGTAGAGCATCTATTCTGTATCTCGATAGAAACATAAGAAACCATTTATTTGTGGGTCCTGGTCTGTATTTGTTAATTATAAAACATCGATTATGTGTGCATGTTGAAATATATTATTAAATAAGCCGTAGTATATAATCGAAATATCATTAGAAAGAAGAAAAACAACAAGAAACCGGTCCTAACAATTCCCATTGTTCTTCAAAATGAAAAAGAAAATATCTTTAAATAGGTACAAGTGTAATATAGCAACAGTAGAATCTATGCTAAAATGAAACGAAATTACTCGAATATAGAACTGATAAACCTATAGTTTTCTAATGTGAAAAACATATAACAACAATTTAATTGAACTTTAAATATTAGTTAGTGATTGATGAGCACTAGCGTTAGTTTATGATTAATGATGAGCGCCTTTATTTTTTATGATCTTATTTAATCAATTACTATTTGCTGTTGCTATATAGTTTTACAATACATTCTATCATTCTTCCATTATTCTACTATAACTAATTTGTGGTTTGCTGACTCTATTATTACAATCTTCTCCTGATCGACAAGTATGGTGAAATCAAAGAAAACGAAAACCGTCACCCGATCTCTTCGTGATACTAAAAAAATTAATAAAAACATATCGCGTTCCAGTTTTAACAAACCACGTGCATATCTGCTCAAGATGCTTAAGGACTTAGGCATTAAAGTGCCTGCTTCATTATCACTCGATATTTTACGTGAACTTGTTGACCAGACTCATGTTAATCTTCGTGCATCAATACCAATGCTGATAATCATGAATTTACTAATTCTTAATTACTTGGTTCTTATTCATCATTTGATATCGAATCTAATAATGGTGATTCAATGGAACAAACTTCAGTTAATGCTGCTGAGCGAATCAAGCGTCTCCTAGTAAGTATACATTATTTAACTGTCCGTTATTCGATTGTAATAATTCTTCATCAACGGTGGAATTTATGCCACAATCATTTCGAAAAGCTACCCTAGGACGATGTTTCCGGCCTCCGGAAATGAGCGGATTTAATTGGAACCGGCCAGGAACATGCAGGAAACGCACCGGAACGTGCAGAAAAACGCCGAGTATCACCGGACCCTGGAAGCAGTATTCCGGGATGGGTTTCTCCGGGCTTTCCCGGTGATTTCCGATGATTTCCGACGGGAACCAACAGGAACTTGGCGGAAGTTACAAGAAAAATCCGAAGATTTCCCGGTCCGGAATACTGCTTCCGTGAAATCGCGGGAATGCGTGGGAACCGACCGTTTCCCGGGCCGGTTGCTTGGACCTGGGTACCCAGATCGTAGAGATACGATGGGAAACGACCGGCAAGCACGGAAAATCGCTGGAAAGTGGAAGCAGTATTCCGACCGGAAATTACCAGATCTTCTTCCTGTGGATTCCGGTCAGTTTCCTGTGATTTCCGGCTGGAAGTTGACCGGAATACACCGGAAAACAATTCGGCGATTTCCGACCAGAATACTGCTTCCACTTTCCAGCGCTTTCTCGGACTTTCCGGTCATATACAGTGATTTTTCCGCATCTTTCCGACCGGTTCTTACGGTATTCGTCCTCCGGAATCATTGACCTGGGTACGTTCAAGAAGGAAAAGATGTTGGTTTGGCACATTTATTGATACCTGAAAAACACTCTCTCTACCAATACCAAAATGGAACAAAAGATTCCACATCGATTTATTTGAAATCTACCGATCCACGTCTTCATCGATCGTTCCGCCTGTCTGAATTAATGTTAGCTTTTATTCACTACTTGAATGTTATGACTGAAGTTCACCCTGAATGCCTTGCTGAACTCAATTTTTATTTATCATTTGTTGTTAAAATGGGAATTCAATTTCCTCCTCCTTTATTTTATCAACATCACAAAAATTTTAGTCATAAAGCGGCTGCTATTCTTTCAACTCAAGATCGAAAGATTAATTTGAGTATTCGAGATGACGATCTTTATTTTCAAATTTTTGCTGGTCGTCGTGCTGGTACCTACGATAAGCGCTCATCTGTCGATCATTCAACTAATTTTTGTTCATCTATTTTTCACGGGGACATTAAAAACGATGTTACTGCTATGTCAATGAACGATTCACGTTCCCGTACAATGGTGTGACAGCGACTTAAGCGTACTCCAATATTTACTGCTGATCAACGTGAAATTTGTTTTAATTATAATGGTAACCGTGGTTGTACCAATCACGCATGCCAACTTGCACGTGTATGCCTTAAATGCCAACAACCAGATCCACAAAAGACTGTCGATCGGTTGTTCCAATTCATAATACGTGGTATACTCTTCTGCTCGATGTTTAATTAGTTTTCGAATATACTTTTTTTCTCAATATCTTCAATTATATAGATATGAATTTTAAATAATCTATTTCTTTCTTTTAGAAGTTATTATTTTGAAACCATATGCTCCAATCAACATTGATCATTTAGAAAATGAATTGCAGTTTCATATAAACCACTCATTCGTTGAGTATTTACTTTCTGATCTCTGTACAGGTTTTGATACAGGAATTCAAGAGTTGCCTAATGGTGCTTTTCAAGGACAAAATATGCGCTCTGGACGAAAATTTCCTGTTGTTGTTGTTACCAAGCTTATACAGGAGGAAGTAGATAATGGATTCTTATTTGAACCATTCAATTCATCACCTTTTCCAATATTTCTATTATCACTATTAGAACTATAGTCTTTGGCAAATATAGCCATAAATCTCGCTTGATTTTAGATCAATCCTGGCCACATGACGAAAATAATACTTCTTCTATTAACGACTTAATTGATAAAGACGAATATTTTATGACTTACTCTACTATTGATCAAGCTATTCATGCTGTTCTTAAAGCTAGTCCTAAGGCTTTCTTATGCAAATGTGATATAGTTTCAGCTTTTAAACTACTACCTACTCGTCCATCTCTTGTTCCTTTCTACGGTTGTCATTTGAATGATCAACTTTATTTCTTTGTTAGACTTCCTTTTGGTGACCGTAGTTCGCCTTGCATTTTTGATTGCTTATCACAGGCTTTAGAATGGATTCTACTGAACAAATACTATGTGCAATACTGCCAATATCTGCTCGATGATTTTATTACTGTTGATTGTTCTGAACAAGAAAGTCTTCGTACTATGGCTATTATTAAAATGGTTTTCAAGAACTTGAACATTCCTTCATCGCCTTCCAAGACTATCTGTCCTGTTACTAGTCTCGAATACTTGTGGATTGTTCTAGATACTGATGCTTTTGAATCCCGAATTCGTGTTGATAAAATAAATCGAATTTGCAACCTTATTCACCAATTATCTAGGAAGAAACGATGTACTAAACGAGAACTTTTACAACTTATAGGTCATTTTAATTTTGCCACACGTATAATTATTCCTGGTAGGACTTTTTTGTCCTATCTTTTTCGAGTATCATGTTTTGTTGACGAACTGCACTATCATGTACGCTTGGGTAAAGAAGCTCGCATTGATTTACCAATGTGAGAAGAATTCCTTAAGCATTGGAATGGTCGTTCTTTATTTCTTGAATCTTTTCTAATTACAAATGTTGATCTTTGTTTATTTACTGATGCAGCTAGCAGTTACAGTTACGTGGGATTATTTGGATCTAAATGGCTTAGTGGTATTTGGGACGATGACTTTATTGGATTAGCTCATCATGAATTAATCCCTATAGTAGTTTCAGTTGTTTTGTGAGGTGCTAATTGATCTCGTCGTCGTATTATATTTTATTGTGATAACCAAGCTCTAGTTTATATATTGAATAAACGAAGGTCTGCGAATTCTATTATCATGATGTTTATTAGAAGGCTTACTCTACTTTCGCTTAAATACAATTTTCATCTAACGGCATTACACATCGCCAGTACAACAAATGGCATTGCAGATGCTATTTCTCGTCAACAATGGGGTCGCTTCCGTCATCTCGCTAGTTGGGCAGATACATTTCCATGCAGATTCCGAACCTAGCAGAACTTATTTATCCTAATTTTTGCTGATTTATTAATACGTGTTTCTTATTGATTTCTATCTATCTATTTAGAACCTGTGGCAGTCTGCACTAAGCGCTTTCAATTTTCGTTGTATTCTTCTAGTTCTTTTAATTTTATTAAAAAATTGATTCGACGATATTGACTATTATCTCTGGCTTCTTCTACACGATGTTCTTACGCAACTGGCTACGGATCATTCAACAATTTTTGTTTTTTTTTGGCAATATTAGACGTCCTTTACATCAATGTTTTGATGAACAAACTATTCAATGCTTCACCAGTTATTGTATTGGAGTGTTACATATTTGTTCAAGCTCCATTCGTTCATATCTTGCTGCTATACGATATTATTGTCTGATAATAGATCGTAGTGATTCATTACGTCATTCAAATGGCACGTGGAAATTTTCTGTTCGCACTTTACTTAAAACAGCTGAGAAATTCCATTACGATCACAGCACCATCGTCTACCGATTTGCAATAAACTTTTATCACGTATCTGCCATAAATTAAATGGATCGTTTTTCTGTGTATTGAGATTCTCTACTATGTGCTTCGTTGTACTGCGCTTTCTATGACTTTCTAAGCCCTGGTGAATTTACATTCAATAAATTTAACGTTGCATGCAAATTGACATTTTCTGATATGCATTTAAATCGTAATTCAGCTACATTTCTTTTGAAGCGATCCAAAATCGATCGATGTAATTATCCCAGGTCATTCATTCCTACAATCGGATCTAAAAATGGGTTGCATTGGATCTTACATGAAAACCGACAAGAACCAACAGAGTCCGTCGGATTCCGGGTTTCGGGACGAGGTTCGGATCTGTAGGATCGGAATCCGATACTATCCGATCATATCCTACTCTGGAATCCGATGCGCGAAAAACGTCTGCTATATTCAACTTCTAAAAAGCTCTTTTACACTAAATAGAATTTTGATATTTTTCAAAACTCTTCCGTCGGATCCGTCATTAGTTCCGAAACCCGGAATCCAACTGGATTTCCTCGGTTAGTAGGATGTTTTAGGATCCGCTAGAATCCGTCGTCGGATTAGTCGATCTGGGATGGTGTTTATATTCGTTATTACCGTACAAATAATTACTTATGTCCAATACGTCATCTTCATACATATGTTAAACACAGATGGAAACTATTTGGTCATCTATGATCTAATTATTAATTAGAAGAAAAAATGAAGAAAAAACGAAAAAACAGGAAAAATGCGAAAGAAAAAAGGGCGCCAACCAAAATACAAGAATCTTTTGAAAATGTAAGAACAAATGAGAGATATTTTACTGTGATGATCAATTATTTTGAAAAATCAGTAGTCTGAGAAATTTTTCATTTTATACATTTTTATTGATTTATCGAGGCTTCAAGGATATACGTGAGTTCCACATTTTAGCCTCAAAGTGGCTGCGCTGAATTGCTTTTACAATATATTTTATCATTCTTCCATTATTCTACTATAACTAATTTGTGTTTCTTGACTCTATCCGCCGTCCACCCCACTACCTACTCTTATTTAATTGTTTACTTTCATATTTTAGACATGTGGTAATTTGTCTTGATAATCAATGTTATATCTGAGGAAGCTCTCATCTACCTAGCTAGTGCGCCGTCAATCTTTATTCATGTAACAATACCAAACATACCAATTCGCTTATACGAACAGTAGTTAATTTCTACATGAACGGTTGCCCTCGTCAACTTTACTAGTGCTTCATTTTAATGTTCATCTCTATAGCCTTTTCCACCTCTATTTATCATGTCTAATTTTCTATGCGAATGACTATCAATTACCACCAATTGAAATTTCCAGATACATCTCTACATCATATCCACACTTGTGGAGAATAAAACTAATATGACCCATTCTGGTGACCAAATAGGGATTTTGATTTAGGGATTTTTCAATTTAGGGATTCTTTTTTCAATATACGACATGGTTTATAAATCATAATTCAACACCGTCTTCTACCGAAAATCTTTTACCATTGAAACGAAATAATTTGGCGCTAACCATAGTATAGATAAGTACGTTCTGGTTACCAGAAACGTCTTGTATTGTCTTCCTTTTCTATATTTACTCACATATATACGTCTGAAATTCATTTTTCTGTTTCTTTTTCTACTATAGTTTATATGTTGAAGGAAGACACTGCATATTGTCTGTGTGTGGCATTGGACAAAAATGTATTCTATAGAAAAAATTCGTTTCTGTTGGAATGAAAGTTTTGTTTAGTCTATATAATGAATATGAAGAGTACATGTGGTTGTTAGCCCATTATGTAGACCAGAAAATCATTTGTCGTGATAAATTTGTTTCAAAGTCGTCGAAGAAGAACATTATTTTCTAGAAAATAGTCCAAAACACTAGAACAGCATAGACGGACGACTGCATGTTGGGTATGAATACTAGAAAAATAAACCTTTTAGTTTAGTCATAACTATTTCTAACATAATTGTTAGGCAGTGCCCCAGGTCGATCAAAACGGACCACCGTCAACCGGCGTAACATACCCTGAACGGTCGTTTTTGCATCGTATTCCGTCGTAAAACGGCCGTTTTGAGCCGATTTAATGCGTTTTAACAGGGGCAGTATTACGGCCATACACGGACACCGTATATCAATCGTAAAACCTCGTAAAGCCGGCGTAATATTATCATCCCAGGTGAAAGAAAACGGCCCGTAAACGGCCTGAAACGGCATAAAAACGATGTAAAACGTTAAAAAACGGCGCCGTTTTCCGTCAGCTCGGAAAACAAAGAGAATAGTGTTAAAANGAGTCAGTGGTCACCGGATATGGTCGCATACAGTGTGGTCCATGCTAACTTAGCACGCCTGTATTTTCTCCTTGCAATTTAGTGACAAGGGATTATCTTGATAAGATCTATGTCTTATAGAGAAAAAAAAGTGAATATACCTTTTCACTTTTTGAAGTACACATAACACTCGGATTTAAATCCGAGGTTTTCGCATTTATTATACTTTTGTACTTGAATATGTTCAGTAGTATCAATTTAATTTAACTATTATTAATAAATTTACCATTTCTTTGATCTAATTAAAAGTGTATTTGTTTCGAGTTTTTCTTTATTTTGTTTTGTCATTAGTCGTTTGACTGATTCTATTCATGATATTTATCGTCTGAAACCGCAATGAACACAAAAAATGAAAAATTATATTGTATGATTTTTGCTTACTGATTTTACGTTGATCGTGACTATTGAATAAAACGATTACCAAGCTATCTCTATCTCTACTCAAATTGATTAAAAAAAATGAAAAATTATTAAGTCACGACTATTTATTGAATGTTATTGAAAGCTTAAGATATAGATATTATGCTTGCCATTTATAAACAAAAATAGAGCCTATAATAAATTAATGAGTGAAGTAGTCAAGTTCTCCAATTTCATTTCGACTAATTCGTTTTTTTTCGATAAGAAATTAGCAAAACAAGAAAAAGTCTAAATTATTTCAGGTTTTATCCCAAGATTTACGTCAATCTTTTTCCAAGTCTCAACCACTTTGTAGATATGGACTAATAAATTATATTACAACCCTCTGACCTGAGATTCTATCCAAAATATTAGTCATCAAAATTTTTTGCAATGATCCAACTCGATATTTATTAATTATAGATTTATGTTTAGTGTGATAAACGTGTCGTGCACCTATCCAACTGAATAGTAAATTCCAAATCTTAAATTTTCTCACTCAGCTGTTTGTTTTTAGCCTAAGTTAAATTTGTCTTTTTAGATAATAATGTAAATTTGAATTTAATCTTTATTAGAACATTTTTTATATGATTTTAGCTTAATAAATATCGTTTCCATATACGTTTTCTAAAATAGTGAAATCGAAGAAGCAAAATATATCTGATAATACTTGCCATACAACAGTTTGATTATTTTTGATGAAAACGAGCAAACTTACTTTCAACAAAATTTACTAGAGGAAAGTCATCTATTACAAAAGAAACTTTTCCGAATTGGTAAAATTCGATACGGAGCAGCCAGACTAGTTTCAATATGAGCGTAAATCTAACGATCATTAAAATATTTCATAAGTACTAGAGAAACTACTCATCTCAATTATGATCATCTAAATTTTTTAGTGCTTAATCATGAATCTTCTGTGTCATCCTATTGTAATAGAATAAAAATCTAGTTACATAGAACAAAAATTTATATGCAGAACGATTTCAGTATATCTTGAACACTTATCGAACTTTCTTTTGAATAAAATTTAAAATCTAACTTCAGTAATTTCATACTTTTTTGTAGTTAGGGATAAAAAATGAATTCAGTAAATCTGGTATCACTTTTGAGCCATACTGTTATGAGTCTGAAAGTTGTTTTTGAGCATTCTCTTTTCTCTATATTTTTCATCGAATAGGGTATGAAGCTGTGTATATTGAGCGTGTTACTCATGAGCAATCAAAACATTGAACTCTTCAATACGCAGGTTATATAAATTTGATAAATATGTCTGTATTATTGAATCGAATAGATGTCGAATTTGATCAATATAACTATAGAATATATTAGACATGCTTATTTTACTCATTCTAAGTAGACCATAACTTTTAATTTGATGCTACATATCAAATTAAAATTCATTTTCAAAGTGCTTTTAACATTTGAGAATTTCATTTACTGTGGCATAAAATCAACCATATATACTCATGTTTTCTAGTTGCACCATTGAACCCAATCGATATGTACAATAACAATATTGTTTTTTAGAGTTTACTGTAATTTTGTGATATGTACTACTGCAAATCATACGATACTTGATACCGTAAGGATGGCAACCTCTTTTGATCGTAAATTTTAAATTTTATCATTGATTTACTACCATTCAAATGAATATTGAAAACTGTTTTAATAAGTAACAAAAAAAAGAAGAATCCGACAGTTCTATCGTTATTTTAATAAAACACTTGTTTTGCTCAAATGAATCAATTTCATGATCAATAGCTGTACAAACATATTTAATGTTGCCACCCACATTCATCATTCATCCAATAGATCATTTTTACTTTTTCTAATATTTTTATCGTTGAATATGTTCAGAAGAATAATGAAAAAGAAAAACTATCCGTCTTCTATTTTTTGCTGCATATATCATATCATAGAACTGATGAAAGTGATGTTTTATTTGCATGCTCTATCTATGTACAAGATTTGAATACATTCATTTTAATAAAAAAAAAAAAGATAACAACGGTTTTGGACCTATTATGTTTCGATATAGTTCGTTGTATAACAAAAAGAAAGAAAAGAAACGACTGTTCTTTGGTAAAGAGGAAGACATTCATTTGGTTCTATTTCTCAGTTTGTTGAAGATGATGAAGTTAAGGGTGCCGACATTTTTAATTTTGGTTTTGCTGTTAAACCATCAAAACGTTTGTAAGTATAATTTATAAACAACCAATCATGTACTTGAACTTCAGTATCTTTTGCTGGCGATGCTAAAATTCATAAAAATTCATAAAAATCTAAGTGCACATTTGAGTTTATTTTCTAAGCTGATGAATATTATTTCAAAAGTTTGATTTTGAATAGACAAAGGATTTCCCTATGTATGAGAATTTGTGTCTTGGATAAAAATGGATACATTCTTTGTCTCAAAACTTTAGTAAAATGGTTCACATACGTAATTTAAGATCTACATCGGGAAAATCATCGAAATTCGATGTGTCGTCAATTGATTTAATACGTGGTTGATAAGCAGCCGGTCGATCTCGTATGTGATTCCAATCAACACCCAAAAAGAATGAATGATTTCGAATGTCATCTAATGAACCTAAACGTCGATCAGCGTCCGTACAAAATCTATCGAAATTATTGAATTAAATTTTACTTATAAATATAATTCGAGCCATACTTAAGTACAAGATCTTTAGCAACATTTGATATGGGTATTTCAGGTGGAAAAACAAGCGTTTCACGATAATTCATAACTTTACGAAAGGTTTCCTGTGGATTCTCAGCACAAAATGGTGGATAACCAATTAGCATTTCATACATAATTACACCTAATGACCACCAATCTGCTTTCTAAATTCAAGAGAAAATTTTTTAATATTTCCTTATTTTCATATCGATCAGTGATAGATAACTAACATTATTATAACCAAATTGTTTAAATACTTCTGGTGCAATATAATCGGGTGTACCGACAGTTGAATAAGCCTGTTTTAAGAAAAATTATCTGCCGACAATGATTAAAAAGAAAAGAAAAACTACTAACCAACGCACGTCGGTTTCTTTTCCATGTTTCAGCTCGTCGTTTGGAATCAGCAGGTGTGGCTGCTAAAAGTATTTACAAGAAAAAAATAACTATAAATGATTCAAACGAAAAATATCTTAGTTCATACTGAAATCTTGTGCTCGCATGCTTTGAATGTCACGATAGAATTCTGTTCGATGAGCTTTCTTCAAACCTGTACATAGGCCAAAATCTGATAATTTTATATGACCCTACAGAGAGAAAAAAATATGAAAAAATTCTATGATCTTTTTATATTTTTCTTTTTTTTTCAATTAAGATCTTAATGAAATTTTCATTTCATTTAAGTTGCAATTTAGTTTTTAAACTGAATAAATCTTATTTTATTCAATTAATCTAGTGAATAATAGAAAATTACTTTTGCATCAAGTAAAAGATTATCTGGTTTAATATCTCTATGAATAAACCCAAGTCTATGAATTGATTCAATAGCTTGTGCTGTTTCGGCTACATAAAACTGTGTCATATCTTCACTAAATATTTCTTTTTGAATTAATAATGTCATTAGATCACCTAAAAAGAAATATCAGAATACTGTTTAATAGAATGAACGATCATTAACTATAACCTCCAGGAAGAAATTCCATAATTAAATATAAATTTCTGGCATCTTGAAACGAATAAAACATTTTCACAGTCCATGTATGATCAGCTTCAACAAGTACATCTCGTTCTGCACGTGCGTGTGCTACTTGTTCACGTAGTAACATATCTTCTTTACGTAAAATTTTCATCGCATATATATGTCCTGTATCACGTTTTTGTACAAGTCTAACCTGAATTTTATTTAAAAAAAATATTGATTTCAATTTTAAAAATATTTAATTTACTTCTCCGAAAGCACCCCGGCCAATAACTTTTAATGGTTCAAAATCGTCTGCACTCATTTTAACGCGTTTTAAACGTAAATATTCAGTTTCTTTGGCTGCATGTAAATGACGTTTTTCAAGCTTCTAATAAAACAAAAAACGAAGGACATTTTTATTTTAAATATTTATATAGTTTTTAAAATTTACTTCTTGATCGGATAATCCGTCGGCATTCATGGTCTCTTCCAATCGACGATATCTATTTATTAAAACTTGTAAATTCGTTTATCAAAACAACTCAATTTACCTGTCTTCTCGTTCTTCGTATTGATTTATTAGATTAGCATAAAAGTTTTCAATGGACATTTTTGCTTTATGCACTTTTTCCTGTGTAATAGGTGTGTGTGTTGACGATGTAGCGGCCATCTGAAAATAAAGCATAACATATACATATTCTTCAATATTTTATTTAAATAATTATTTCTTATTGTTTTTCAAAAAAAACAAATGACACTAATAAACGATAAACACAAAAAGAATATTTCACTCATTTTATACAATCTTTTTTGTTATTTCGTTGACATTCACATTCAGACAAAAGACAACACGTGAAGATATATTTCATTAAAAAAATGAGAAAGAAAGAAAATTAGCAGAGATAGAAATTTGTCACAAAGTAGTTTTTCGTATATAAGGAATGAATATATCTGGCGAAAGAGAGAAAAACAAAGACTATACTTAGAGGTAGATTGTGCACACTAGAAAGAAAAAAGAAAAAGATTTTTGATCTCATCGATCTAAAATATCTGTGAGTGCATTCACTTGTTAATGTTTATTTATTTTCTATTTCAAAATAACAATCATTCGAAGTAGTGGAAGGAATAATATATCCTGAGAAAGAAAAGCAAGCCGAAAAAAAACCAGAAACTCGAAATTTTATTATTGAATTAATTTTGGCTATGATATTGTGGACCAGCTGATGTGGTGTAATCATCGAAGAACAAATGCAAATGCTAAAAGAGAGCAAAAAAATATTAAAAATGAAATTTAAATTCATTTTTATTACTTCAAATGTAGGTCGATTATCAGGTGATGCATCCCAACAGCGTAACATATAATCATAAATTTTTTCTGGACAATTTTCGTGACGAGGCATACGATAACCACGTTGAATTTGGTCAAGAACTTCTCGATTAGCCATACCTGTAAGAAAAAAAACATATTAATATTTATTATGTTAGTAATTCACATTTGATTTGTCTGACCTGGATAAGGTACTTGACCATAAGTAACAAGTTCATAGAGTAAGATACCATATGACCATACATCTGATTTAATAGTAAATTTACCAAAAATAGCTGCCTCTGGAGCTGTCCATTTTATTGGAAATTTTGCTCCTAATATATGTGTATATATACATAGTAAATTAAAATAAGAATGAATTAAGAAAATAAAACAAACCAGCACGAGCAACATATTGATCTTCATTAATAATACGAGCTAAACCAAAATCAGCAATTTTAACAACACCATTCTCTCCAACTAGAACATTTCGAGCAGCTAAATCGCGATGAATCTAATTGTATGTAAATATTTAACTTAAACGAATAGCAATGTTTTTATAACTTACATAGTGTTCATGTTCTAGATAAGCCATTCCAAAGGCTATCTAAATTAAAGTAAAACAAACAAAGTATATTTCTATCAATAATTAGTTTTTGACTATATTTAATTCGATAGATAACCTTTCACAGTTCTATTGATAAATATCTAATCATTTCCAAATATAGAATCGATAAAAGTAAAAAAACAATTTTATTCTATTTGAGGTTAGTTTTTTTGTAAAAAAGTTCGAAAGTTTAAAATTATGACTTAACTTTGAAATTTATCTTCCGTCACGAACGTCATTATCAATAAGAGAAAAATGCTATATTGATAACGGGTGATGCATGGATTGTCAATATTTTTATTAGGTTAATAGTCATAAAATTATTTAAAAGGTTTCCTTTTTAGAAAGTACAGAATCTGTAAGAATGAATCAATCATTTTGACAATATGATTTTGTTTTCGAAAAAAAATTATTGTCAAAATAACAAACTATTAAACTGCTACGACGATCTTCAATTTTTTAAATAACATGAATCTATGACAAATCTAGTAACATTAATAAGAATTTAAGCAATCTATCATATCATAAAATATTTGTTTCTCATTATAATTTCTCTTTTTAAATATTCAAGATGATAATTCTAATTACCTGTGCAGCCATATCGACAAGTGCTGGTAATTTAAGTTCGCGCCCTGTTCCATCTCGAAGATGATCTAATAAACTCCCATTACACATAAGTTCAGTCACAATATAAATTGGTTGATCAACTGGTTCTGTACAAACAGCATACAACTGTACAAGTTTATCATGCCGTAATTTTTTCATAATATTAGCTTCATCTACAAATGCTTGTGTCGACATTGTACCGGCTTTCATTGTTTTTATTGCTACATCTATTTTATTATTCCATTTTCCAGCCCATACTTCACCTGAGAAAAAAAAGCAAGAATTGCAAATAAACAAAGAAAAACATTTTACCAAACATTCCTTGACCAAGCTTTTTAACAAACTGAAGAGAGTCTCTCGGTACTTCCCAAACATCTTTTGATATTGTTAATGTTGTCGGTTTCGGTCGTGGACATGGACGTATTAACTGACAACAAAGACCATCAGCATTTTCTTCAAGAAGAAAAATTATTTTTTTCTTTGATTAATAAATTTTATCAAAAATCTCAAGTCTTATCATACTTATATAATAATCAATTAATTCTTCTAGAGAGATAAATGTACGACGTGCAGCGATATAATAACCAATACTTGGATCGTTAAAACGAATTTTATAATGTTTCACATGTGCACCACGTTGTTCATCAAAATCGCGAACAGATAAAGAATATGGACCTAAAGAAAAATCAATTAATTTTAATTAAATCAAATATTAATGTAAACACGAAATTAACCTGGAGTATTTTCTGAATTTCGAACAAGAAATGTTCCACGTGGATTTGCTGGGTTCAATAAAAGACGTTCAGCTTCTTTACGTAGAACTGCTTTATGAAACCATCTAGAATATATAGAACGAATATATATCAAATTATATTTGAAAATTCTTTTAATTGATTACTCATTGACATCAAGGCCACCGTGTGGTGCAACATAGAGAGCTGGAATATAACCTTTCAAACCAGTTTGATAATGTCGAGCAAGCCACCAGTCATTTTGACTAAGAAATGAATTTTATTTTTCAATTTATTAAAATAAGTAAATATTCAAACCAACCTATCATCAATAATAGCTAGTAGGTCTCCTACACGAAATGTAAGATCTTCATCTGTACGTGCATCATAGTCATAAATAGCAACATAAACTTTATCAATTCCATATGGAATGTTTCTTCGATTGTTATCACTATTCACTAATTTTATTTGAATATGAAAAACATACGTCAAAAGCAACAACAACAATAACAAAAAGAAAAACTTACAACTTCCATTTCTTCTACGATTTCGATCTGTCAAAGGATTTATCGGACGTAAATCTAGAGAAGTTGTTCTAGAGTCTGTTTTCGAAGGGTCTAATTTTGGAAAGCAACAACCCATAATGTTTTTTTATTTTGTCTTTGCCCGAGTCATCTCATCATCTACAAACTAAACATACACCTACATATTCACATTTCGTTAGAGATGGTCAACCCACGCAAACACTCTAAAAAAGGAAAGAGAACAAAAGATCATCTGCTCTCTTCACTCAAGACTACGACTCGACCAACCAAACAGCAACTATTTTAATTCATCCATCCACACCACATCACATCACTATCAAATTTGTCTTCAATCAACTACAAACAACCAATCAAAGCTGATAGGAAGAGAAAGAGGGCGCCTGAAACTAACTTTAGAGTTAGGTTTATTTATTACATTTATATTTTTGGAAATATGATACGTAAATTTGATAGTTGCGCGAGTTTCAAAAACAAAGCGAAACGACAATTTTCTTGTCTGTAATGACGACGAGATTTTTCGAAAAAAATTAGTATTACAGTATATATCTAATAAAACTCTCGTCGTCTTAATCTGCAAAATTTTTTAATATCAATACAACCGAAAATAGAAATTTGACATTGTAAAAATTTGATATATTAACATAGTCGATTTCTTTTCAAATATTTGTGTAAATTATACTAGATGTCTCATCGTTTACGTATTGATCATAAATCTTATAGGGTGCCATGATTTTGCTTTTGTTTGATGAAAATAGGCAGGTCAAAAGAAAAGCTGATCATGATTTCGGAAGTTTTTATTATTCAATTTTTCACAAACATCATTAGCTTGCTTTTTTGTTATTGTCTGGTTCAAAATAATAAGTTACAAATGCATTTCATATTATCATATAGAATAAACTCAAAAAAAGCAAAAGGCTATTTGAAAAATAAGTATGGCAAAGAATCTAAATTCACTCTACTATCGTTGCTTCGTGTATTACTAAAAGAATTGCAATAAAACGATTAAATTTCATGCTATACTATAGATACGAATCTATCATTATATATATTCGAATAATTTTCCTTATGTTTATCAAAAGAGCAGCTATTAGAAAGTAGATCATCATTAACCAGGCAATTCTTTACTATGCTTCGAATTACATGTATTGAAATTTTAATAAATTGATGATAGTTTATTTCTGTATTTTAAACTTTTCTGATCAGATAGTTCAATATGATTAACATCAGTCATAAGAAAATTTGATGTTTTCTTCATAATTAACTATATTCTAATTGACTAGACAACTTATTACGTTTTTTCATTACTCATTGATCCATCTATGATTAAAAATTCTTCACAAATTCCTGTACGATGTAAAGATTCTTACATAATTTTATTTTATTTTATTTCATTTCATTTCTTCAATTGTTCTATCTTATTGTAATAAGGCAAACATACAACAAGGCAAACTATGCATTAAAATGACGAATAAAGAATACAACTGTCTGTCATATGCACATATCTCTGCATCAGTAAATGTCAATAGACTTTTGTTTGGCGAACAAAAAGAAGGCAATGAATCAGTTTTTAATTCAACATTTACTAGATTTAACTGTTATAATTTCAATTCATTTTTTTTTTCAAATTGATTATGATCATTATTACACTTCCTTATCTTTATGCAATCTATGGTATAATCATTAGTTTAGTTTGTTTAACAGTGTTACTTGCTCAATATTATAATTCTGAAAAACTTTTACATTATCTTTGTTTATTATGTGCTGCCAGTGCTCTTTATGTACCGATATTTTTAAAATATCATTCACCTTGGACGCAATTTACAGATGGATTAGTTAGTATATTTTCAGCAGTCACTGGATTCCTATTTGCTTTAAAAATTCTTGAGCTTGCTTTTACATACGAATGGTCAATACAAAGACAAATAGCAGTAAAACAGATTCTTATGGATTTTTCAACATTTCCAAAATATAAATATGAACCAGAATTACCATTCATCAAGTAAGACTAATAAAATTAAATACAATTATAATAGTATAATACGTTAGATTAAAATCAGTTGACCCAACAATTTTAAATCATCTAAAATATCTTATACTTGGTACTGATGATGAAAAACTTTCGGCACGTCGACAAAATATCTTGATTATATTGCGTGGTTTATCACAATTGATTTGCTTACATATACTTCTTCGTTTAACACCCTATTCAATGCTTCGTCTTCATAGTCGAAATGCCAATTTTTTTTCTATATGTCATTTTCTAACATATACTCTTTATGGATTTATGTTCTATTTTGTTCTCGGCATGATAATTAATATTGTATTTGGTTTAATGGGTTTTATTTGGAATATTTATATACGTTCAATATATCCAGGCTATCCATTTTTACCTACAAGTCTTCATGATTTTTGGTCACGTCGATGGAATATTTATGTCAAATCAATTCTTCATCGTATTTCTTTTATTGCTTTACCTAAATTAACAGGCTTCAATGAAAAATCGAATGCACGCATTATATCTGCTGGCATCTTTGCATTCTTTGTCTCAGGTCTTTTACATGAATTTATGTATACAGTATCAATGAATCGATGGTCTGGCGGAAAAAATATGCTTTTTTTTCTTATCAATGGAATATTTGTTGGAGTTGAACTTGTTTTTCAAGAAGTGCTCAAACAAAAACAAATAGTTCCACCAGTCCTTGGTTGGATTTATACAATAGTAGCTTTATATTCAACAAGTTCTCTTTTTTGTGATCCCTGGATTGAGGTCGATTGTTTCGCTACGTTGAAAACACATTTGGGATAATAAAAAAACAGATACAATTTATTGATATATTCGTGCATATTTCAAGAAAAAAAGATATTTTATTATAATCAAACCGAAATACGAAGGTAATTATATGAAAATCCATACATTAAATGAATGAAAGAACATGATTCCTGTGCTCATAAGATGTGATTTAAAAAGAATTTCTGATAACAATGCGGCAAAACAGAAGATATTTTTTTGCCAAGACTTATGTTAAGTAAAACATTGTGCATCCTTCTCTGCGTTATCAAATATACAGATTTCTCGTTAATTTCGTGCTGATTGTATAGATTAAAATGTTGAAACCAGTATGTTGTTTCATTAAATGATTCTTTTTTGCTCCATATTTAATCGCACCTACAGCCTTGATATAAATGTATGAAAGTCAATAAAAAAAGTTACTTTCACTTTAAAAATAAGTTTTAACATTATCAAAATTGACTAAAATACATATTTATAGTGTTAGGAAATCGATGAAAATTTTTTTATTCTATTTATAAAGAATATTTTTCGACAAGGAAATTTTTATCGCAATCAATCAAGTAATTGTTTCAATTAGAATGTTAGAAGAAACCACGTTTTTGTATGTGTTAATGTTTTATGTCCTATTTACATTGATGATGAAAAAGAATATCGGTGATAATTTCGCATGTGCAAATATTGTTTTTGATGATGATGATGATGATGATGATGATGTCGTCGCTGATATTTGTCAAGCTAATACCAATTCAATAATGAGTTCGACTTTCAACAGATTTGTTAAATAATGACATTGTTTTTTCTATTGCCTTATTTTTTTTAAAACATAATAAACAGATAGCAACTCTATCGATTTAATTTCCTCAGACTATTGAAGACAATTAATCAATCGATTATACTGTGTACAAAGAATAATACTATTCATCGTAAATTTAAAAAGAAGTATATTTGGCTATTTCATCGCATATTTGATTATAAGTATCTTGGAGGAAAACTATTCACTTAAAAGAAAACGATCAACTCGATCATATGTAAATGTTTACCTACAATTATGTGTCTGTAGATGTAGGCGAGTTTGATAATAAATATTGTATTTCTTAATGTATACTAACTTTCAATAGTTGAAATAAAGGAGGTGGGGGAAAACAGAAGACTTGAATTGGAACAGTAAGTCAAATTAATTATAAGCCTAAAATTCTGCTATTTCTCCCTTGGTTGAAATAGATAAGAATGGTAAAATACTAAAGAGAGTATTGAATTGAACAAGGGATCAAAGAAGCTCTATAAAAACTATGAATATTTTCATATGATTTGATTTCCTTTGTTTATTATTTTCATTTAAAAGAATTTCTCTGTTTCTGAGGTCAACAGTAGAGAGTTGTTGGAGCTTACGCATGTTGTCTTCTCAGAAGAGCTCTTCTGGAAAGATATTCTTCAGTCTTAAATTCTTCAGCCTAACAGACGAAATTGTAAATACTGTTCAATGGCAGACGCTTCTTTCCTTAAATTTTTTTTAATGCTTAACACGTCAGCTTTATTGATGAGCTCTTGACCGCATATGGTGAAGCATCACCAAATACATATGTCTAGTATTATACGATCGTATTTGTTCGTGCACGGTTACGGCGACATATAACCGTAATGCTAGACCCTGCATACCACTAAAATACGACCGTTTACTATCTTATAGGGAGTGTATAAGAAGTTCGCAATCGTTAACATGGACAATTGATGCTGATTCGTTCAACGAGCGATAATACCGTTCGTTAGTACACTACACATGTTTCATGGAATTTATTTTTACGTGAGTCTTGTTTTTCTTATTCAATTCGTTTAGTTCTCATGGCATTCATGGACAGGTCAGCGACGGATGTGTAGGTATGGCAATAAATAATAATGCCTACTTTTTTTTAAAAGAGAGCCACATTTTGGGTGTGGCGGTGTGTAAATATATAGAGAGATATATGCATCTAATAATATTTTCTGGTGTGGCAATTGTCAGCAATTGCTTTGTGATGGTTCGCCGATGATTAAATATACACTATTAATATGTTTTCAGGTATAGCAATATTTTTTTTAGTGTCTTTTTCGAAACTTTCATGAGATGTTTAATAGATGCAATCCTTCAGTTATTTATTGAAATAAAGAGTTCAAGGGATAAGTATCAAGTGGAAGAAAGAAGCAAGGCAGGCCTTTGTGCCCAATTAATTTGTTGCCCATGTTCTGCTTGGAGAAAATCATTGACAAAAGCCAAAAGAGTGGGATACTTAACATCGTAATAAATATTATCATATTGATTGGGATCATCGTGATATTCGTTATCAATAAATACGAATTTCGTATGGACGCCTTGAATGTCTTTAAAATTTCGTCTTAAGTCATCGACGAAAGCTACTGGATGCAACGCTTCGATTATTTTCTTTTTGGGGTTATTTTGGGGGTTCTCTTTGTCATAGCCTGTGCTAATTACTCGATTGATTGGAAATCCATGTGAGAGAAAATTTTCAAGTCTATGATCAGAAAAACAGGCAGGCATTGCGGTAACGCAAATCAGTTCATAACCGGCTTCATGAAGCAAATTACAAGCTTGAAGTGCACCATCTAACATTGGCATTGTGCGCCATCCTTCGGCATCCCATACTTCATTGAATCGATTCTGTTCTTCAGGTGTGAAAGTGACATCATACGCAGTAGAAGACTGAAATACAGTCAAGTTAATGCTAAATAGAAAGCAGTGTCTAAACTCACGTAATAAGATTTTGGAGACACACAAGTCAATTGTTTTCCAAAAGCTTTTTCATAGATTTGAGCAAATGTAGCGTGATAATCTAGAAGAACACCGTCACAATCCAGTGCGATAATCGGCTTTTGATTTGTCTTTGAGCACAACATTGATTCGTTTGCGATTTTCCTCTTGAAGTATAACACGACGTAAATGGAAAGAGATATGTCGTTCGATAAAATTTAATCAAAATTTATACTTGTATTCAAAAGAGCATATTTCGTAATAATCGATGACTTTATGCCACGTAGGGTCTTATGCAATTACAAGAATACTTTGAATACGACAGAATAGCAAAATTTATTCGATTATACTCGACTATAAAGAAGATTTTTCTAGACTCCGATGACGTTAGTTTTTGCAGTTACGATTAATCTTCATCATATTTACTTCCATGGGTGTTTGTATTCTCTCTATGCACTCATCATCATTTGTCTTCAGTTTCAATTTATCGTATATGGTGTCTGCCAAAACGTTTACTGCTTCCATACTCTGGACTGACTCTAGTGAACATAGAGAATGCTGTCTATGTTCATTGGTATGATGGTGTATTGTGTCATCCGCACATATCTAGTCATGAGTTTCCTTTAATTGCATTCCATTATATAAGAGAGCGAGAGAATGATCACGTATAGATGAATAAGAACAAAGAGGAAATGGTTACACAATAGGACAATGAGAGAGTAAGAAAATCAATAAACGAACATAAGAATATAGAGAAGAGGATTATGCGTGTGAAGTGAATCGTAATGGTCAAAAGTCGATACACTAACAAGTGAAGGTAGCATAGTGCTTGAATAGATTGATTTCATTTAAAAAATTTAAAACAGCATACATTCTACTTGTATCATCTATTAAAATAGTCACATGACATCAAGGAAGAAAAAATAGTTCTGGTAACGAAACATGTGCGTTAGAATATCGTCGTCACTTAGTATATTATGGAATTAGGTGATTAGCGTAAGTAAATGGTGATGCTTATTCTACATAATGAAGGTGTAGACCAATGATTTATCCTGTGCTCCCACCTTTCGCTACTGCTTGCACAGCTTGAACTCTTACCATATTTTACCAATTTTTTACTCAAATGTGCATACATAAACGTTGAACTAGTTTACAATTGAAGTCTTTGGATTGGATAAGGATTTTGTATTCCTAAAGCTGTATCCCAATTTTCAGTTATGACTATTCCATCTTTGGTTACTACTACTTTTGTTCCACATGAACAGGCATAATCACCTTCAGTATGATAGCGAAATATCCAATTGCGTTTCATGCCACATATTGTTTTGTTTTGTTTTGTTTTGTTATCTTTTACTGATGACACATCATTTTTATGATAAATAACAGAATAAATGAAAATAACGATCATAGAAAAACAATGCATGATGTCTGAAGTTTTATTTTACTTTATGAGGAAATCAGAGAAAAAACAGAATATAAGGATTACAATCAAATAAAATATTGAGAAAGGTTAGATAAATGTACGGATAAGACTAACTTTCATACGGAAATGTCATACAAACTGAATTTTCTATTCAAAGCTGTTATGGCCGATAGGTATGATATAAATTCAGTTAAGATGTATCTTCTGTATTCTGTTCCGTTTTTCTTTATGATGACATCCATTACATTCTTCGATGTTTGCTTTCTCTCTCTCTCTCCCCACGAACTAATCTTATCCCTTTAAAATAAAAGAAACCTCATCGATATGTAATGAGATATGAGAGACGGATAGTGTATTAAAAACAAAGAATATAAAAGCATATACTTTTTTGTTTTTTGATCGTTCTCGATTCTAATTAAAATAAAATTTGAAATGAAATTAAAAAGGATTAACGAGAAGGACAATAACAAAAATACACGAATAGTTTTAACGAGCTATTCGTAGTTATATTCGAAGAAGGTAATCTAGGAAATTTCCAGTAGATTGGTGAAATCGTCGAAAACTTTGAAAAAAATTTTGTTCTGATAGTACGAATTGATTTTAACTCAACTGAACCTAAAATCGTGCACTACAGAAGCATGAAACTCGCGCATAATTTATATTCATAGCCGGCATGTGCACTCGCATCTAAAGATATGATATAATCGATAGAAAGATATAAGATGCACCGTGGGCAAAAAAGGAGCACTTTTTGTTTTCAATGTTTTTTACATCATCTGATAGAGCTCTCGATGCTGATTCCGGATATCTCACTTTTAATTATTTTAGAGTCTATTTTGGGCACAGAATTGTCAAATTACTGTTCGGTAAAAATGGCTAAAAAATGACTGTTTATGAAAAAGTTGAAAATTTGATCTGGCTTTTTGACACTATATGTTTTTTAAGTCAATTTATTCGAATTCAGCATCCGATTGTGAGTATAACTGACTATATTTTAGTTCATTTTATTTTATTTTATTTGAAGACATTTCGATGGCTGAACAAAATTAAGTTAATTCTCATTGGCACATATTGACTGTCCAATCTTGGAAACCTATTTCCTGTTTTGTTTTGTTTTGTTTCAATAGATAGAATTCTCATTCGCATATCATTCGAACCAACAACTGACAAACAAAAAAATCTGAGTATCCTCATCTCGAAATAATCTTCTCCGGTGAAGAAAAATTACCTTTATTAAAAGTGAAATTATGCTAACATGTAGCAGAAACTAAAAACCCTATAACGTCTGAATGGTTCTATATTTTTAGATAAAATTAAAAATCTGTCGATGAAATTCAATGTAGCTTACTATTAGATTCTAAAGACCAGAATATTAGTAACGGTTACAGAGAAATCTTGGTGGGGCGCAGGAAAAAACCTTGCTGTTTTCGTAAATTGCGATTGCGAAAACTTTTGGATGAATACTCATCATTTGAGTCTAGTATTGTCCTTAATCATTTTCACGTGGGTCCCAAACGTTATAACTGAGATTCAACATAGACAAAACCCTAGTTACGCCATTACTTTTTACACAAGTTAAATAGATCGTCAATAGTTTCCAGCTCTAGTTTCTTCACGACCCTGATGTTTCTATCATCATAGCTGTCAGCTTGCATAGTTTTCATGTCTCTTTGTTCTTCAAACTCTTCCTCGAATATCTCTACTCGCTGTGCATATATTTTTTTACCCACCCATAGTCTAGCAACGAGTTTCCGAGGAATTGCACCTGTTAGACTACTTCGCCGCTTAGGGATAATATGATAAAGCCATAATGAAAAAGAGTACCTTTTGAAGTATCTTTATGATATGTATATGTTGCAACCTACTGTTGAAATGTCTTAAAAAGACTATAAGGATTGATCGTTGTGTATGATGTATTTCTTTAGTTTTAAAAGGTAATTTTTCTTCACCGGAGAAGATTATTTCGAGATGAGGATACTCAGATTTTTTTGTTTGTCAGTTGTTGGTTCGAATGATATGCGAATGAGAATTCTATCTATTGAAACAAAACAAAACAAAACAGGAAATAGGTTTCCAAGATTGGACAGTCAATATGTGCCAATGAGAATTAACTTAATTTTGTTCAGCCATCGAAATGTCTTCAAATAAAATAAAATAAAATGAACTAAAATATAGTCAGTTATACTCACAATCGGATGCTGAATTCGAATAAATTGACTTAAAAAACATATAGTGTCAAAAAGCCAGATCAAATTTTCAACTTTTTCATAAACAGTCATTTTTTAGCCATTTTTACCGAACAGTAATTTGACAATTCTGTGCCCAAAATAGACTCTAAAATAATTAAAAGTGAGATATCCGGAATCAGCATCGAGAGCTCTATCAGATGATGTAAAAAACATTGAAAACAAAAAGTGCTCCTTTTTTGCCCACGGTGCACCTTACAATAAAATAAAGACTGGTGTACGAGTGAATATTGGAGTTTTCCAACTTTTCTTCATCACTAAAATATAATAAATGAGGAAACATCGGATTCGCATCTGATTGTTACGTGTACTACAAAAGATGAGTCGATTTATATATGTTTTGAATAATTCTGAGAAAAATCCCTGTACCCCCCTCCCTCAGGAATGGTCTAGTCAATAATGACAATTTTTTCGATAGCTCAGCCATTTTCTGACGGGTCCTTCTCATCTTCGAACTTGACTGACATATTGATGAGATCATTCTGTGTACAAAATTTCATGACAATCGGATGAGGCTTTCAAGAGTTATCGTGTTAACGGCCGGACACACTGACCGAATCTAGTGTACTCACTTTTGTTTTTTGAGTACACAAAAACTACACTAATCTTCTTGTAGAATGTGAGAACCAGCATAGGAGAAAAATACCTTGAGATATGAATATGAATTTTACTTCCCATTTTTGAAAAAATTATTTAATTTAATATAACGTAAGTATGCTGCTTAAAAATATAATAGATGTGATGAGATGTATGCAAAAGCAAAAGAGAACAGAAACAACAGAGAAGAAATAGAAAGCCTTCGAAAAATAGACTATTCGATAGTGTTATTCATGAATTTGAGGATGCAGGATAATGAATAGAGAGGTCACATGTAGAGTAGTGTGATTTGCAGAAGAATGCTGTGAATCATCTCTTCATCCTTATTCATTTTTATTTACTTTAAATATTTAAGCTCTAGCCTGTCAGTCTAGGGAATATGGGCATAGTCACTGTGCATCAACACGTGACTCATCTTGCCATAAATGGTAAAACAACGTAAAAATAATTTTCTCCCTTATATGGTAGAGCAGAGCAGCATGAATTTTACATATCAGCTGTTAAAAGAAAAATAGATTTAGAGCTTAAATTTCATGAATTGGAAAGCATTTTTTTCTTGACTTCTTTTAGTTAAGATTATTCTTTTTTCAAGATTTTACTGAAATAAAAGGAAACTTTTCCTAGAGAACAATAATAGTGCTATTAGACTATTTTGCTTATGGTCCAAACATCTTTATCTAACCTAGACCCTCGTGTAAGAATTTTTCATCTTCACTATTTCAGACAAAGATGTGTATGTGTGACGATATGCATATGCATAGTCAAACAGCTGAATGAATATGACAAATGTGACTCATTCTACTAGCTTGATGAAAGAAAATTTCACAACAACTACCACATGTGACATTTTCTTTCATCAAGTTGGCGCACGCATTTGACGAGAGATGCAGAAAGCTACACCGAATATTGAAATGTGACGAACATAATTAGTGAAATTGGTATGAATTGATCTATTTACATTATCCAAAAGCAGTTGATTGTGAATATTGTATCTATGAGTCAAAACCTTCCATTTCAAAGACTGAGTCCGTAATGCTTTTAGCTGATTGCTCGAATATAAAATTGTAACTAGCATACAATCTTATTACTATAACAGTTTATTTTTTCGTTCTATTCATGAAAAATTTGTATAGATACTACTCGTCAGAAATTGAGTTTCGAATAATTAATGTATTTTTCATATATCGTTTACATGACAAGAATACTGTTTATTAAATGAGTGTCACTAAACAGAATATTTCTCATTTTCTTGATAGTTTTCACAATTCTTATATGTAAATATATCACAATTTTGTTAACTCTAGATAGCTACTGCCTGGATACCAAGCAAAAACAAATGGCCAGTGCTCCTGTTAGATCTAATGTATGGATGATAGATGTCATGGGATACTATCTAACAAATGATTTACAAGCTACTAATGAAGAAATCGACTATTTGAAGCGTTTATGTGCACTGAAATCAAAACCACGAGAAGCTTCCATAAAACTTAAAGGTGTTCGTAATCCATCTACGATCATCGATGACTATCTCTATCATGGAGATTTGGGCCATGCACTTAATAAAAATCTACTTGAAGAGCTCGATATTCGGCATATTGTCAACGTTTGTGATTCACCATTAAACAAAGAAATTCTTGATCATTTTAACGTATTGTGGATAAATGTAAGCGATGAACTTAGTGCTAATATTCGTCAATATTTCGATAGAACAAATGAATTTTTACATGCTTGCAAGCTAAAAAATGAAAAAGTTCTTGTTCACTGTCAGATGGGCATTTCTCGTTCTTCGTCGATTATTCTAGCATATTTGATCAAGTAAGAACGATTATTAGTAGTGATTACCAACCCTCCATTTCTTTTTGCAGGTATCACTTCGATAATCTTTATGATGCTTACGATCACTTGGTTCAATGTCGGAGAATCGTATCACCTAATTTTGGTTTTTTTCTACAGCTAATTCGGTACGAGAGCGACTTGCATAGTAGCAAGACAATCAAAGATGATCACGTATCGAACGAATCAATTGGGACTGTTACAACTCCATCTTCTGTTAACTCTAATCTAATCGAATCAACCAAACAATAGATTTTTTACCTTAACATTGTTGTATTTCATATTTTCTCTAAGAATTTTTCTATTTTTTTATTGATCATTAAATACTAAGAAAGAATGTTAAATATATCACTGAGTCTTTGGTACATTTTTTTTCTATGTAAAATTATTAGGTCTAATGAAGAATAATAATTTATTCCACAAAGTTAAGGTTCACTGATATCACTCGAACCACCCATCACGGTGCTGTGAGATTGTATGTAAGAGTGACAGTAACATCTGAGCGCCGACTCTCTATTTATTCATGAGCAATCTCACACTTAAAAGTTTAAAATTCACAGGAGATTTTAAAAGAAAAATTCCATCTTCCTAAACACTAAAAGCTTATGGATTCAAAGTTTAAAAGAATATGTCGACAAGATGAAAATAGAATAATCATGAAGACCAGAAAGGCGATAAAAAAATCATAGTTCACTTGCACTAATTCATTTCTTCAATAAAAATTAGTTGTTATCTCAAGATTTTTTCAAAACTATGCTATATTAATTATATATTTTCAAGAATCTTAATACAAATAATGGTAAAACTATCCTCATATTCTTCATATATTAACGAAATGGTTATCATTCTTCTAGTATTTTCTATTACTAAATAATCAAACGATCTGATTAATTCTATGCATGAATAAAATCCGAATACTTGTATTAGTTTTATGCTATTCTTTTTCAAATACAAGTTTTTACTATGAATCTAGGGCTGACTACGTATTCTCACCAAAACATTATATATATATATATATATAATTAAAACAAGATTCACATAATCTTTTTTATTCATGTTAGCACCTTGACGATGAAGATTTATGCATATATACAATTTTTACGTTCAGTTGATTGCTGAATAGTGAGTGATGGGCAAAGTGAACTATGTCTCTCTCGAGTTTGAGTAGCTCTTTACTGACGAGTAGAAGGTCGGCTTGAGAGAAAGAAAAATAGGAGGAAAAAAATCTTTTATTGATATTTTCAATATATATTGCCTTTGATAATTTGCCGGATGTTTTTCATTAAGAACAAGATCATGTTGTCAATTTCCACTTGATTTTAATCGATGTCGATCAAGTGACCATCTTGTTTTTCTTATTACTACGTGTCGATCGACGCCTTTGCCAAGAATCATCACGATTTAGTGATATCATTCGACTATCACCACGACAACGACGATCATGATGACGATGATGATGATGATAACGATGAACATCATATCGTGAAAATGAAGAATTGCAAGAGTCGCTACATAAAAATAAACAAATAAAGAAAATCTAACTAGGCATGCACCAATACCAAAATTCTTGGTTTTGGTGATTTGGTTTCGATTTAGTTTTGGTATTGGAGTATTGGATTTGATATGGTATTGACAGTTTTGATATTGGGTTTGATTCGGCNGAATTCAGCATCCGATTGTGAGTATAACTGACTATATTTTAGTTCATTTTATTTTATTTTATTTGAAGACATTTCGATGGCTGAACAAAATTAAGTTAATTCTCATTGGCACATATTGACTGTCCAATCTTGGAAACCTATTTCCTGTTTTGTTTTGTTTTGTTTCAATAGATAGAATTCTCATTCGCATATCATTCGAACCAACAACTGACAAACAAAAAAATCTGAGTATCCTCATCTCGAAATAATCTTCTCCGGTGAAGAAAAATTACCTTTTAAAACTAAAGAAATACATCATACACAACGATCAATCCTTATAGTCTTTTTAAGACATTTCAACAGTAGGTTGCAACATATACATATCATAAAGATACTTCAAAAGGTACTCTTTTTCATTATGGCTTTATCATATTATCCCTAAGCGGCGAAGTAGTCTAACAGGTGCAATTCCTCGGAAACTCGTTGCTAGACTATGGGTGGGTAAAAAAATATATGCACAGCGAGTAGAGATATTCGAGGAAGAGTTTGAAGAACAAAGAGACATGAAAACTATGCAAGCTGACAGCTATGATGATAGAAACATCAGGGTCGTGAAGAAACTAGAGCTGGAAACTATTGACGATCTATTTAACTTGTGTAAAAAGTAATGGCGTAACTAGGGTTTTGTCTATGTTGAATCTCAGTTATAACGTTTGGGACCCACGTGAAAATGATTAAGGACAATACTAGACTCAAATGATGAGTATTCATCCAAAAGTTTTCGCAATCGCAATTTACGAAAACAGCAAGGTTTTTTCCTGCGCCCCACCAAGATTTCTCTGTAACCGTTACTAATATTCTGGTCTTTAGAATCTAATAGTAAGCTACATTGAATTTCATCGACAGATTTTTAATTTTATCTAAAAATATAGAACCATTCAGACGTTATAGGGTTTTTAGTTTCTGCTACATGTTAGCATAATTTCACTTTTAAT